CAACCCTGCTCCCCCCCTTTTCACCTCCTGTCCCTCTGAATCCAGGGTCAAGCTAAGCCCCTCCCCTTCAGACCGAACCCAACCATCCATTCACCACCACCAGGGTCAAGCTAAGCCCCTCCCCTTCAGACCGACCCCAACTATCCATTCACCACCACCAGGGTCAAGCTAAGCCCCTCCCCTTCAGACCGACCCCAACTATCCATTCACCACCACCAGGGTCAAGCTAAGCCACTCCCCTTCAGACCGACCCCAACTCTCCATTCACCACCACCAGGGTCAAGCTAAGCCCCTCCCCTTTAGACCGACCCCAACCATCCATTCATCACCACCAGGGTCAAGCTAAGCCCCTCCCCTTCAGACCGACCCCAACTATCCATTCACCACCACCAGGGTCAAGCTAAGCCACTCCCCTTCAGACCGACCCCAACTATCCATTCACCACCACCAGGGTCAAGCTAAGCCCCTCCCCTTTAGACCGACCCCAACCATCCATTCACCACCACCAGGGTCAAGCTAAGCCCCTCCCCTTTAGACCGACCCCAACCATCCATTCACCACCACCAGGGTCAAGCTAAGCCACTCCCCTTCAGACCGACCCCAACTATCCATTCACCACCACCAGGGTCAAGCTAAGCCCCTCCCCTTTAGACCGACCCCAACCATCCATTCATCACCACCAGGGTCAAGCTAAGCCCCTCCCCTTCAGACCGACCCCAACTATCCATTCACCACCACCAGGGTCAAGCTAAGCCCCTCCCCTTCAGACCGACCCCAACTCTCCATTCACCACCACCAGGGTCAAGCTAAGCCCCTCCCCTTTAGACCGACCCCAACCATCCATTCACCACCACCAGGGTCAAGCTAAGCCCCTCCCCTTTAGACCGACCCCAACCATCCATTCACCACCACCAGGGTCAAGCTAAGCCACTCCCCTTCAGACCGACCCCAACTCTCCATTCACCACCACCAGGGTCAAGCTAAGCCCCTCCCCTTTAGACCGACCCCAACCATCCATTCACCACCACCAGGGTCAAGCTAAGCCACTCCCCTTCAGACCGACCCCAACCATCCATTCACCACCACCAGGGTCTAGAACCGGGGGGTTTCATCGGATCGGTTCTCCCCTCCCGAATGATACTTCCTGCACAACTCCATTACATTCATTTGTGTATCTCTGCAATAAATATATATTCTTACATCAAAACCGTCTCTCCTGATTGAACTAAGTTTACCCCCAAAAGTGCAGCGGACAAAAAAAACACTGGGCTTCAGATGAAATGCAACAAAAGCCGTTTGTTAACTTTGACCTCAAACAATCCCCAGAGGAAGAAAAGTAAACAGAAAAGGCGTACAATACAATAACGTTTTATTTTTGTTCAGTCATATCGGTTTCCATGCTGTAAAATATATATAAATATACATCTCAGATTTTAATGGGAAATCAAACACACTTTATCTCTTCTACTAATAACTTGTTGTTGTTGTGCTCCTGTGAGTTAAGAAAGCACAAATCCAGGAGACAGATGTGAAGAAATGTAGTGCCAATCGTTTTGTTGAGTGTAATGTGATCAAGAACCCATCCGTGGAAATGGGAAGGATCAAATATTTCCACAAGCAAACATACATCTCATTTAAAACCCGTTCAAATACAAGTACCAGCATTTCTTCAGATCACACTTTGTCAGATTGCATTTCAAAAATCACATTATAAACCTGGAATGGACATTTAGAGAAAAGTAGATTGCATCGATGTGTCGAAGAAGCGTCTCTCCAACCCAGTTCAGATTTGACCACGCCCTCAAGTAATATCACGTCTACTCTAGCTTTGGGGAAACACAATATGGGATGCTATATTTAATACATTCAGTGTTTAGCACAACTTCAAGGGGGGTTAGCGGACTGCAGCTAGCAGCTAGCATTCAGTCGGTGCACTGAGAAACAATACAGCGGATTATTAAATATAATAGATCATATAAACAGAGGTGGGAGAAGTACTTAGATCTTGTACTTGAGTAAAATATATGATGTGTTTTATAATGATTGATCATGAAAGTGTTCTCAAAGCTGGTGAAGGTGCAGCTAGTTTGAATGACTTTGTATACTGCAGGGTAGCTGGTGGATTTACTCCAGGTGGAACTAAAGTCTGATGTGTGTGTGTGTGTGTGTGTGTGTGTGTGTGTGTGTGTGTGTGTGTGTGTGTGAATGGGAGAATGACTCGTAGTATGTAACGAGCTTTGAGGGGTCGACCTGATGAAGAGATCAACAGTCGTTTTACCATTTCAAATTAGGACATGAATTAACTCAGCTCTGAATGACGTCATTCACATTTAAAAAGTGCTAGTTCCAATCAATCATCAATCTCTATGAAGCAACTGTAGCTGTCGAATTAAAACTTTAGTGGGATGAAAACTGGAAGGGTGACGCTCCGACGCTGCATCGATGCTTTCGTCAAATCTAAACTGGGTTGGAGAAAAACGATGACGCTTCAAGGAATGGAAATACTATTTACCACGAAATGCGAAGTAAAACAATGAAGCTATGTAACTTTTGACGGAACAAACACTACATTTTTCCTCCTACAAATAACACATTGAGTTCAGTAAACTCAGGGTGACTTCATGCAGGCTTTGGTTAGCTCATGTTAGCATCTGAAGGTGGTTGATGCTATGCAGATGACATTCAAATGGTTCATTATGTGTTACCATTATCCTGTCACATGTTCAGCAGAAGTTACATAGCTTCACTTTAAACGTTACAATACTTTGGGTAAAGGTAAATATTAAGATTAATTTAAACACTTCAGCGTTAAAGTTGGAGAAGCAACGTGAATACAAGCTAATGTAAAAGTACCTAAGATAAATACAAATGTTAAATCAATGAAACATCGGGTCTAGTCACAGTAGTAATGGGTGCTGTAAACATGTTTAAGGAGTTTTTGGAGCGCTGCACATCATGCAGTTTGTAGAGGAAGAACAAAAGTGCATCTGGAGAAAGAGGAATGTCGTCCTGAGATCCCACGTAGAAATATCTGTGGGATTTAAGACTTCTTGAGTAGCACTGATTCCTTTGTTCTAACGCTTCTCAAATGGGAAAAGCAGATTTCCTCCGACGCAGTCCAACTTTCTGTCAGAGATGGAAAGAGTCCAAACTTAAAGCTCTCTAAACCAGCGAGGCCCTTCTGGATCTGAAGGCATCTGGAAAGGTCGTTTGAAGGGAATTTGAGCAGCAAGAAAACACATGAAGAAAGGAAACAAAGGGGTTCAGATGAGGTTCTCTCTGTCGTGGGTCTGTATCAAGACGCGGCTGATCATCTCAAAGTGTCCCTGAACATTAGATACTGATTTATAATTGTCCTGCAGGCTTGTGTTTGGCCCAGTTTTGTGTTAAGCTGTTAACTTTGCTGCGGTTCATTCAGCCGGTCTTTCATGCAAGTGGACCTCATCCAGTTTGAATGTTATCAGTCGATCAGTGGTTATCAGCCTTTTACAGATGGGGGTCAGAGGAGGCGTGCTTCACCAACTAGTGGGTTTTATCATCTATTGATAAGGTAGTTCACAACAGAAGGAATTCAACAAGACAACACCATGAGTTGTTAATAAAGTCACCATGGCAGAAGTCAGGTGACCTAGTGTTAATAGAGGGAAATGTGGGATACCCAACCCTAACCCTGAATTTTTGTTTGTTCGCCTAAACAACAACACAAAGTCGTAATTTTGTCGCCTAAACATCAAAAATATTTGAGTCTAGAGAAGCTTTAGTTTGGTTTATATTCAAAGAGTTACGTTTTATTCCTTTTTTCAACATAGTAGAAAGCCCATCTGACAAACAATAACAATCATGGTGTCTTCAGAAGCCGGTCGGGAAAACTCAACAAAGGTAGTCGGGATGTTTGAGATCCTGAAGTGTCCAGGATTCATTTTAAATATTCTAAAATGAGCTGTATGGACATGGCATTGTGCGAGGCAGTGAGAATGAGGCAGTGAGAATGAGGCAGTGAGAATGAGGCAGTGAGAAAGAGGCAGTGAGAATGAGGCAGTGAGAATGGGGCAGTGAGAATGAGGCAGTGAGAATGAGCCAGTGAGAATGAGGCAATGAGAATGAGTCAGTGAGAATGGGGCAGTGAGAAATAATGAGGCAGTGAGAATGAGTCAGTGAGAATGAGGCAATGAGAATGAGGCAATGAGAATGGGGCAGTGAGAAATAATGAGGCAGTGAGAATGAGTCAGTGAGAATGGGGCAGTGAGAATGAGGCAATGAGAATGAGGCAGTGAGAATGGGGCAGTGAGAATGGGGCAGTGAGAATGAGGCAGTGAGAATGGGGCAGTGAGAATGAGGCAGTGAGAATGAGGCAGTGAGAATGAGGCAGTGAGAATGAGGCAGTGAGAATGAGGCAGTGAGAATGGGGCAGTGAGAATGAGGCAGTGAGAATGAGGCAGTGAGAATGAGGCAGTGAGAATGGGGCAGTGAGAATGGGGCAGTGAGAATGAGGCAGTGAGAATGAGGCAGTGAGAATGAGGCAATGAGAATGAGGCAGTGAGAATGGGGCAGTGAGAATTGGGCAGTGAGAATGGGGCAGTGAGAATGAGGCAGTGAGAATGAGGCAGTGAGAATGGGGCAGTGAGAATTGGGCAGTGAGAATGGGGGAGTGAGAATGAGGCAGTGAGAATGAGGCAGTGAGAATGAGGCAGTGAGAATGAGGCAGTGAGAATGAGGCAGTAGCATCGCTGTCAGATTTCAGAAGCTGCTGAGGTTTCAGAAAAGCTCCCGTTATGAAATGCTTAATTGTCTTTCAGATGGAAACTATCACAACAAAGACTTTATCTTATCTGTTGGGAAAATACTGAATGCACTCTTCCAATATCAGAGTACACATGTTAACAAAGGTATCCCAACTGTAGCTGTGTACATGACAGGATGTGTGAGCATTTTGAGATTTTGAGAAAAAGTCAGGATTTTGAGAAAAAGACAGACTTTTTGAAAAAGTCAGAATTTTGGGGAAAATCAGAATTTTGAGATTTTGAGAAAAAGTCTGATTTTGAGAAAAAGTCATGATTTTGAGAAAAAGTCATGATTTTGAGAAAAAGTCAGATTTTTTGAAAAAGTCTGAATTTTGGGAAAAATACAGAATTTTGTGATTTTCAGAAAAAAGCCAACATTTAGAGAAAAAACTCCTCCATCTTGTGATTGTGTAACTCCCTCTCAGAATTTTGAGATTTTGAGAAAAATTCAGATTTTTGAGAAAAAAATTCAGATTTTTGAGAAAAAAATTCAGATTTTTGAGAAAAAAAATTCAGATTTTGAAATTTTTTAGAAAAAAATTCAGATTTTGAAATTTTTGAGAAAAAATTCAAGATTTTGAAATTTTTGAGAAAAAAAATCAGATTTTGAGATTTTGAGTAACAACTCAGAATTTGGAGAGAAAGTCCGAAAAAAAGCCAACATTTTGAGAAAAAACTCAGTACTTTGTTCATGACAGGATGTATGATTACAAGAACCGTCATTCCTCCATCTTGTGACTGTGTAACTCCCTCTCTTGGATATCAGCATGTGAAGGACACTGTTCAGGAACTAGTTGATGCTCTGTATGTGATGACTCCTTCCATTCTGGAGAGGATCACAGATACATGGATCCTGAGGTTGAAGCTCAAGCCGGTGACGAGTGAGATTTTCTTAACATGTTCAGCGGAGGCAGGTTAAAGGTCGGTGGTGATGACGGGTGTGACTCCGTGGATGAGCAGCGTGGGGCCCAGGTCCTGAGTGAGCAGCTCCAGCTGGTGCAGGTAGGTGGTGTAGCGCCGCGTGTCAGCAGGGGGTCTGGGCAGGTACAGGAAGCGCACAGCAGGGGGGGGTCTCGCCGGGTCTAAGATCAGCTTATTAACGGCGGAGAGGTAGTCGTCTGAGAGGCGTGTGGCGTTACTCGGGAAGCTGTTAACGTAATCATCTTCCTCCTCTTCCTCCTCGATCTTCTCTTTGTCTTCGTTGTTTGTGTCACTTTGCTGTTTCCTCTCGCCTTGCCGCTGCCAGTGTAGCGCCACCTGCTGGTCCCAGGGCACGGAGAACACCTGAGAATAATAATAATACATTTGATTTATAAGCACACTTTTCATTTGAGTAAACAAAACTCAAAGTGCTACAGAGTAAAAGGGTTGAAACAAAACAACAAAAACAAATAAAACAACAAAATAAAAGCAGCGATGTTTACGTCGGCATGGCAACAACAAGTAGGGTTTTAAAAATCTAGTGAAAGGCTATTCTAAAAAGATGCGTTTTTTGAGTATATAATAAAGTCACCAAGGCAGAAGTCAGGCGGCTTAAGAGTGACTTGTGAAGGAATGCGGGAGAGCCAACCCTAAAACGATTTTAGTTTGGTCGACTAAACAACACAAAGTAGTTTTGTTGCCTAAACATACAAATATTTTCGTCTAGAGAAGCTTTAGTTTGGTTTCTTTCACTTTTTCAACATAGTAGGAGCAGTTTGGCTCGTCTGATGCTTTAGAAAAGAGGTGATAACTAATAATAATAATAACGCTAATCTGCTGATAACAATCCAAATAGGTGTTTATAAATCACGGTTGGTTACAAGCTGAGATCTCAACGGAGACTTTCGGGATTTGATCGACTAGTCACTGGAAAAACTGCTGCTCCAAAAACAAGTTAAACAATATTGAAAGCAAAATACAAACATTTGCTTGGTAAGAGTTCTTGAAATAAGACGGGATATTTAGATGAATCAGATCTTGTAATTAGCTAGGAGAACTATCTTTTACCAGAATCAGGAGATGTTGTGTTTCAATATAAGCCGGGAATGCTCAAATGTTTTCTGATATTAGTTGATGATTTTCTAATAAATATGTAAAATGTGTTTCATCTGAGATACAACTCAAATTAAGATTTTTTGACCATGTCATGGCCATTTCTACTGATCATAATTCCATCGTTGAGGTCTACTAGAATAGATTTCAATTGTTCAATGTTCCAAACTCACATTGGTTTCTCATCCAGCATCTCTGTAAAGTCTGTGTATTCTCTCTCTGTCCTAAACGGCTTGTTGGAGCTCCTGCCCCCCCCCCCCCGTGAGCCCAGTGGCCGTCTGCTAGACAGCGAGACACCGCGGAACTCAGCCCAAAACCAGCCCAAACACACACACACACACACGCACCCGCAGCCTGGCTGGGAGTTTGTGTGTGTGCCCAGGCTGAGTTCCGCAACGTCCCGCCGAGTGTGTGTGAGTGAGGAAGTCCGCGGATTGGTCCAAACGTAACGCCTCCGCGTTACGTCACTATACCCGAAATACGTCACTATACCCAAGAAGTAAACAATGAAATGTCCAACGAGGCGTTCTGGGGCAGCAGACAGGTCTTCTCTGTGTTAGAGTTTTACTCCCTACAGGGTGTACTCTGAGGGTTTGTGACTCTGCAGACCGTTCACATGCAGAACAACCTTCATAACACAAGGGGACGGGTGATAACCGGAAAAGCATGACATGGGGCCTTTAAAATGATGATACATTGTCTAAAAACAAGACCTGATATCTCACTGCAGTGTGACTTCTGAAGTTATGTCTTATATCGGGTGTAGAGACATATTCTGATAGATATTAGACAAATATACTTTTTCGAGTTGTTGTATTCTAGTGTTTTTCTTTTTAGATGTTTTTAAATATTTTGAGATTTGACGGAGCACGGTGTACTTTGATCAGTGATGTGTCTGTTGTCTGTGTTTGTTTTTTAGAGTGTGTCAGGATGTTGTCTTTTTATCTGCTAACTAAATCTACCTACGGGCACAACTAAGACCCTGAACCTGATCCTTAAGTGCAATGTCCAGGATTCATTTTCAGAATTCTAAAATGAGAGTTTTTTGAGCCGTTTACCTGAGCTTTGATCCGCAGCTCTTTGAGGAGCTGACCCAGTTTCTCCTCCGATCCCCGGACGCTACGACCCTCCTCCACGCACAAAAAGAGACGAAGACGAGCTTTTCTCCACGACCGCACCATGTTGAGGATGCAGGCGAGCTGAAGCAGGAAAAAAGAGCATGTGTCGACGTAGCTAGAGCTGTCGGGCCGAAGGAGATTCACCGGCCACACGTCCACAAACACCGGAGAGGAAGGGGAGAGGACCACGGAGCGGTCAAAATCGTTGAAGTTTCGAGCCAACACGACGTTTTTGAGCATCTTCATGGCGTCTGCTATGATCGCGACGTACTCCTGAGGGCCGAGAACCTTCCCGTCGCCGATTTCCCCGCCGTCTTGTCGGTCAACGGACCCCCGAACGGAGGAGAAGTGGAAGAGAGGCGGCTCCTGGTCATGATCGAAGTCCTGTAAAGATCCCGAGGGGTCAGAGGTCGAACAGATGGAGAGAGAAGGGTCGATGAGAGTGTCCTTTGGGAGAGAGTCGTCGTAGAAACCCAGGACGAGAGTGTTGGGACGCATCCCGCCTGAGAAGAGGGGAAGAAGGAGGAAAAACAAATAAGACGAGAACTTTATTCACAAATTGAACATATTTAGAAAAGCTTGCCGAGCCAAATCAGGATTGTCCAATGACCTACATGTGCCAACATTAAAGTTAAAAAGACGCTATGATCACATACAATACCTCACATACAGCAGTGGCTTTGATTATAATATCAGAACTAATTAGATATTGTGTTGTTTGTGTGTCTGATGATGGAGACACTGACCTAGTCCTGAGATGAAGAGCAGATGTTGGACGCCATGACGCACAGAGTCGGCCAAAGTCAGGTTGACAAAAGACTTGATGTTCAGATGATCCACCAGAGAGAGCCAGGAGTCGTACTGCGACTGCAGAGGGTCGGAGGGGAGAGTGTCTGGAGGAGGACAACACAAAGGAATCAGGTGAATAAACTGGAGGTGAATTAGATTCACAGGATCAGAGAGGAAGGAAAAGATCAGGATGGGAGAAATGTGGAGAAAACGGCTATACAGTATATTTGAGCAAAAAAGCAATGTTTCGATATTGCAGTCATAGTGTTGGGTTGATTAAAAAGTGGTGACAACGTATTTTTGTAGGCTGAGCTGGAAGGTAGTATCTCACTGGTTCCTTTGAGAAAAAGCTAATGGGATTTTTCCATTTAATTTGGGATTATTGAAGAAAATAAGATCTATGACAAATAAACGTTTACATATTTTGTTCATCAGGATAATCTCCATATATTAACACCACTTTATGATTTCTGAAGTAAAAAGCTAAGTTGAGGCTATAAAGGAACTACAGCATGGTCACATGACTTCACGTCACCACCGCTAAGCTAAAGGTGGCTAATGTTGGGCTATAAAGGAACTACAGCACAGTCACATGACTTCACGTCACCACCGCTAAGCTAAAGGAGGCTAATGTTGGGCTATAAAGGAACTACAGCACGGTAACATGACTTCACGTCACCACCGCTAAGCTAAAGGTGGCTAATGTTGGGCTATAAAGGAACTACAGCACGGTCACATGACTTCACGTCACCACCGCTAAGCTAAAGGTGGCTAATGTTGGGCTATAAAGGAACTACAGCACGGTCACATGACTTCACGTCACCACCGCTAAGCTAAAGGAGGCTAATGTTGGGCTATAAAGGAACTACAGCACAGTCACATGACTTCACGTCACCACCGCTAAGCTAAAGGCGGCTAATGTTGGGCTATAAAGGAACTACAGCACGGTTACATGACTTCACGTCACCACCGCTAAGCTAAAGGTGGCTAATGTTGGGCTATAAAGGAACTACAGCACAGTCACATGACTTCACGTCACCACCGCTAAGCTAAAGGAGGCTAATGTTGGGCTATAAAGGAACTACAGCACGGTCACATGACTTCACGTCACCACCGCTAAGCTAAAGGAGGCTAATGTTGGGCTATAAAGGAACTACAGCACGGTCACATGACTTCACGTCACCACCGCTAAGCTAAAGGCGGCTAATGTTGGGCTATAAAGGAACTACAGCACGGTCACATGACTTCACGTCACCACCGCTAAGCTAAAGGAGGCTAATGTTGGGCTATAAAGGAACTACAGCACGGTCACATGACTTCACGTCCCCACCGCTAAGCTAAAGGCGGCTAATGTTGGGCTATAAAGGAACTACAGCACGGTCACATGACTTCACCTCACCACCGCTAAGCTAAAGGCTGCTAATGTTGGGCTATAAAGGAACTACAGCACGGTCACATGACTTCACGTCACCACCGCTAAGCTAAAGGCGGCTAATGTTGGGCTATAAAGGAACTACAGCACGGTCACATGACTTCACGTCACCACCGCTAAGCTAAAGGCTGCTAATGTTGGGCTATAAAGGAACTACAGCACGGTCACATGACTTCACGTCACCACCGTTAAGCTAAAGGCGGCTAATGTTGGGCTATAAAGGAACTACAGCACGGTCACATGACTTCACGTCACCACCGCTAAGCTAAAGGAGGCTAATGTTGGGCTATAAAGGAACTACAGCACGGTCACATGACTTCACGTCACCACCGCTAAGCTAAAGGCTGCTAATGTTGGGCTATAAAGGAACTACAGCACGGTCACATGACTTCACGTCACCACCGTTAAGCTAAAGGCGGCTAATGTTGGGCTATAAAGGAACTACAGCACGGTCACATGACTTCACGTCACCACCGCTAAGCTAAAGGAGGCTAATGTTGGGCTATAAAGGAACTACAGCACGGTCACATGACTTCACGTCACCACCGCTAAGCTAAAGGCTGCTAATGTTGGGCTATAAAGGAACTACAGCACGGTCACATGACTTCACGTCACCACCGCTAAGCTAAAGGCTGCTAATGTTGGGCTATAAAGGAACTACAGCACGGTCACATGACTTCACGTCACCACCGTTAAGCTAAAGGCGGCTAATGTTGGGCTATAAAGCTGTGGGTATTTTACAGATTGAGATTACCAGGACTTTTACTTGTTACAGAGTATTTTTACAATTTAGTATTGCTACTTTTTTTAGTTGTGGAAGAGTGTTTATTCCACAACTGCCTCTTACAATATGAACATTGTCCAGCCTTAAATTATCTAAAAATCAAAGTAGAGATGAGATAACTCGGTGTGTGTGGAGGTGAGAGACCGTTAGCTGTGGCGAAACGAGAGATAGAAGCTCAGCGTCTGAAATATGAGACAAAATACAGAGCAGCACAAACAGGCAGGCAGGTGATCAATCATCAACAACAAAGACATCAATATGCATCTGGAAAATACATCTGCAAGTTTCAGAGACGATTCCTTTGGTATCTGAGGCTCCGTTAGGATCTCAGAAGTATCTCTGTATTCAGATTGAATGCAAACAGCTGCTAGACAAGTGAGAGTAACTAAATGGAGTTAAAGTACATTAGGAGGGCGATGTTGGAGAGGGGCCTCCTCTTCAATGTGATCATGAATGACTCCTTCATATTTCTCCATACCAAGTGCCTCATCAGTAGTCAAAATGAGAGAAGGGCTCTTCAGAGGCTAATGAACACATCGTTGTTTACACTGAGAAACGCTCGAGAGGATTTAGATTTTGAATACTCCATTCAGGCCGGAAAAATCATCAACAACATCCTCAAAAGACCAAATAAAAAACAATGAATGACGCTGATGCTTTAAAGAGTAGGAGAGGAGACGCTGTGATTAGTTCTGTGAAAACATAACAGGCTGGGAAAGATCCAGCGTGGATTAGGTCCTTTAATTAGAGATGGAAGAAGTACCAATTAATTAGTGTCAAAATACTCCTTCAAGTCCTATGTTTAAGAATTAGATAAAAGTACAGAATCAACTAAATGTAGATAAGGAATCAAAAGTAAAAGAACTCCTTCTGCCTTAATTTGTGATTTATTATTATTTTATAAAACGGACAAGTCAAATCAAGCAATCTGATTGGTTCTTAGCCGTGATATAATGAGCGTATATCACGGGTAGAATTGTAGTTACTTTTCACAAGTCAGTATCCCTCCGCGTCTGAGAAAAACTACAACCGTTACAGCTGTTACATTACGTCCGTTACGAAACTAACTTACCAACAAAGCTCAAGATGGAAACATTTAAGGTGAACTTCGACCTCCGGGGTGGTCTTACTATGGAGGAGTGGATTGAGCAGTGCATATCTCCAGAAAGCACCTAAACGACGACATGCAGAGCTACGTGAAGAGCAGGTAGACCAACTGGAAAAGTAGCACCATTCAAAAGCTTTCTGATGCGGGTCTTGAAACAAAGCAGAGAAATGATGACCGTTAGTGGCCACAGGTGCGAAAGCTCTCTCCAGAGCTGCTGGAAGCCCAATCTCGGGGACCGGAGAAAGTGGAGCAATATTCTCGCCACGCCAAGCAACAGCCTAGAACAACCTCAACCTACAAGTGACCTCGTAAGCCATGCTACTGATGCTGGACAGGTTTTCAGTGGCTGCACAATAAACGGCTACATACACATTAATGTAAATAAATAGCCAAATAATGGATCAACGCTCTCTGTCTAATATGTTCGCTAGCTGTTAGTGTTGTTGCATAGCAACCACCTCGCTCTATGTTTCGTTTTTATTTTGAACATCATTATTTACTAATAAAAACTATTTAAATTAGAGTGTGTATTTTTCTTTCATATTGCCACACTTGGTAACCGTTTTATAAAAGCAATAACTCACTTCAGGCCGTGGTATATGCTCAGTATATCACGGCTAAGGGGCGTGGTTCAGCCTGTCGGGAGCTATTGCTTAAATATATATAACATTATTGGATAGTTATAGTGGCATTTTAATGTTGTAGACAAACTCATTTCCTATACACTGATTATTCATATTTACGACTTTCTTTCTTGTAAAATATTAGATGAGTTTACCTTTTACTACCTCTAACAGTTAACTGGTTTAATCTTTAGACATATGTACATTACGTTAAAGTTTTATCACAAGTTTTTTTATTGCAAAATCTTAATCCGAACAGTAACTTAGGTTTTAAAACAAATAACAGATAAGTCAAATTGAAATACTCAAGTTGTTTAACCGGTCCTGGGCGAAGACATTAAAGTAAACTGTGATTATTAATCTTTACAGTCAACAATTTGCCAAAAAAAATCAGTGATAATAAAAAGGTTTTAAAGTGCTGCCTCAAAAATATTATAATAATGGTTAATCATCTCCAAATACGATTTTTACCATCCATGATTTATTTGTTCTCATTGTTGCAACTACTTCACACACTTTGTTATGTTATATATATATATTTATTTAGGTATAGGTTGGTCTAATGAGGTCTTGTATTCTAACGTATTCAATACATTGTCATGTCCAAGAAACTTATAGTGAAAGTGTATTCTTTATGTTAGTTTTGTCATGTCCCTTTGTCCCGTGCTTTATGTTTATTCCCTTCATTCATTCTCCCTCTCATTTCAGGCCTCCACGCTCCCCGCCCCCTTCTGTCTCCTGCGTCCTTGATTGTTATCCCCGCCCTGATTGTTTCCACCTGTGTCCCCTTTACCTGTGTATATATTGTGTTAGCTCCCTCCTGTTCATTGTCAGTTCGTTGTCTCTCTATGACCTACGTTCCTCCTTACCTCACGGACTTCTCACGGATCTATGTTATTATCACTGTTCTAGTTTTCCTCGAAAGAGTGTTTTTGTTTTCCTTGTTTTCATTACTGTGCAAATCCCAGTAAAGTCTTTATTTTGAAACACTATCCGAGTCTGAGTTTGAGTCGTGCAATTGAGTTCATGCCTCAGAGTTCACCGGGGGAAGAGCACGCTCGTGAACATATTCGGTTAACGCGACCTCTGCACCTCACAAACCCTTTTCGTTTCCTTATCGTCCACAGGAGAGAAAACTGATTCATCTTTATATTTCAAAATAAAAGTCTGCTCCACCATGAGGGTTGAGTTATGTGTAAATGTGTGATGTTGTTACCGAGGTCTCCGAGCTGCACGTGTCCGAGCACGTAGAGGCCGCTCTTCTTGATGTCGTTGATGAACTTGATCAATCCCACGCTGCTGCGAGGGTTGGAGACCATCAGCAGGACCTGAGGCCGCCAGAACTTCACGTGGTCCTTCCTCACGTCCAGCATCAGCAGGTACTTACGCACCTGAGGAGAGAGAGAGTGGGGATAAGGGTTGTTATAGGAATGAGTCCTTTAACCATGGAATGAGTCAGCATTTTAGAACGTCTGGTTTGCTTGTTGGGAAGTCTTCTGTTTTTTTAACATGTTTTTGGTTCGTAGCCTGAAATAAGGTCTGAACACAAGCTGAAGAGATGTTACTGTTTGTTCTACGACATAAAATACGTCATGAAATACCCCACTGGTGAATTTAAAAACAGCGGTTGCTAACAAGTGTCTAAATGAGACGACCAAAAGTCATCACCCCCAACATTAGCAGCCTTAGCGGTGGTGACGTGAAGTCATGTGACCGTGCTGTAGTTCCTTTATAGCCCAACATTAGCCACCTTTAGCTTAGCGATGGTGACGTGAAGTCATGTGACCGTGCTGTAGTTCCTTTATAGCCCAACATTAGCCACCTTTAGCTTAGCGGTGGTGACGTGAAGTCATGTGACCGTGCTGTAGTTCCTTTATAGCCCAACATTAGCCACCTTTAGCTTAGCGGTGGTGACGTGAAGTCATGTGACCGTGCTGTAGTTCCTTTATAGCCCAACATTAGCCACCTTTAGCTTAGCGGTGGTGACGTGAAGTCATGTGACCGTGCTGTAGTTCCTTTATCGCCCAACATTAGCCTCCTTTAGCTTAGCGGTGGTGACGTGAAGTCATGTGACTGTGCTGTAGTTCCTTTATAGCCCAACATTAGCCGCCTTTAGCTTAGCGGTGGTGACGTGAAGTCATATGACCGTGCTGTAGTTCCTTTATAGCCCAACATTAGCCACCTTTAGTTTAGCGGTGGTGACGTGAAGTCATGTGACCGTGCTGTAGTTCCTTTATAGCCCAACATTAGCCACCTTTAGCTTAGCGGTGGTGACGTGAAGTCATGTGACCGTGCTGTAGTTCCTTTATAGCCCAACATTAGCCGCCTTTAGCTTAGCGGTGGTGGCGTGAAGTCATGTGACCGTGCTGTAGTTCCTTTATAGCCCAACATTAGCCACCTTTAGCTTAGCGGTGGTGACGTGAAGTCATGTGACCGTGCTGTAGTTTATAGTCTAAAATTTGATTGAAAAGTGATTGCATTTATGCTTCAAATATCACAAAGTGGTGTTAATATGTGGAGAAAATCCAGCCGAACAATAGCTCTAGCTCTTTAACATTTCGTATTAAAAAATCGAATTGATAAAATCCTCTGGCTGTTTTGTCGAGGAAACCAAGGAGATGCTGCCTATAATAAATAAATATTGCAAAGGGAACACAAGTGCACCATATCCATTTGTGTGTAAGTGTAGGTTTACCTCCATCCTATAGGAAAGCATGTGCTGTTATACAGACTCTTATATAGAAGCATATGGCGTCTGTAATTATCATGTGAGATGGCGGCAGGGAGCAAATGGATTGTGTGCAGATTTCAAGCATGTCAATCAAGTTGTATTGGTAAAAATGCCCCCATGTGTGAGCGGTTGTGACTGTATACTTAAATGCCGGTGTGTTTTGGTTTCTATTAGGATGCACACGACGCCTCGAGCATCATTGAGATTCTGACGGTGTGTTGATGAGGTGCAATAGAGGAGATGTAACCACGTGGAACCAAATATTACATTTAAACCTTCAGTCGAATAGGAATGATTAACACTCAGTTTATAACCTCGTTGGAACTAATGACTATCGGCTCGGCGACAACATGTCCGCCATGTTAAAGCTGCACCGTACACTGCTGGTGCGGCTGTGTTTTTCATTATGAGTGAGAGATAAAGTGAAGCTCGTATCGTTGTCTTGATGTTAGAACAAAGAGATGAAAGTCAACCAATCACATCACATGTAGGAAGCTTAAGGAATAAGCCAATAAAGGCAAAAGGACTTTTAAATGTTGTGTATGTGAGAAACACCTCTTCATCAAAGAAAAGCCCAAAACATGTGGTTCGTTGTTTTGTTTTGTCATTGTGTTTTGTTTCACTATAAAAACATTAAAATAGATTTAAAAATAGGAGGAAAAGTGTGATCTGTACATGGACTTGATCACATGAATGTTTTACCTTATTTTATTTTCACCTTGGAAATTGTTGTATGTGTACATGTGAATATAAGTGTATGTGTGTATATACGTGTGTATATATTTGTTCATGTGTGTATCTGTGTACGTGTGTATATACGTGTGTATATATTTGTTCATGTGTGTATCTGTGTACGTGTGTATATATGTGTGTATATACTTTTTCATGTGTGTATCTGTGTATGTGTGTATATATGTGTACGTGTGTATATATTTGTTCATGTGTGTATCTGTGTACGTGTGTATATACGTGTACGTGTGTATATATTTGTTCATGTGTGTATCTGTGTACGTGTGTATATATGTGTGTATATACTTTTTCATGTGTGTATCTGTGTATGTGTGTATATATGTGTACGTGTGTATATATTTATTCATGTGTATATCTGTGTACGTGTGTATATATGTGTGTATATACTTTTTCATGTGTGTATCTGTGTATGTGTGTATATATGTGTACGTGTGTATATATTTATTCATGTGTATATCTGTGTACGTGTGTATATATGTGTGTATATACTTTTTCATGTGTGTATCTGTGTATGTGTGTATATATGTGTACGTGTGTATATATTTATTCATGTGTGTATCTGTGTACGTGTGTATATATGTGTGTATATACTTTTTCATGTGTGTATCTGTGTATGTGTGTATATATGTGTACGTGTGTATATATTTGTTCATGTGTATATCTGTGTTCGTGTGTAAATGTGCATACTGTATATGTGTACGTGTATCTATATGGGTACGCGTGTATATATCGACTTGTGTTCCTTTCTGTGTGTATTTATACACATACACACATAGAAACCTACATCTACGTTTGCAGTTGAAATGCCGTAATATGTGGGTCTCTGATTCTACTCATTTAGTTTTGTCTGATATATATATAATATATCATAAATGGTAACGGTCAGTGCGCCATTTGAGAAGGACTATATACTTTTAAATCAGGATCATTTGAAAACACTTGTGTATAAAAGACTTAAGGTAATGAAGGGAAATGATACGAAACAAACGGAAACTCCTTTGCTTGGACCTGAAAAGAAGCAGTGATAACGTGCCGCTAACGACGGACTCAGCAACACAAGTTTATATTTCCAGAAGCTGTGTGTCTGCAGCCATCAATCCACCGTTTCCATCATTATTACCGTCATAATCACCAGAACTGTTTGAATGCTCGCGTCCGCTAATTGCTGTAAAGAAGAACGAAACGAGGCCCCAGAGGCGAAGTCCAACTGCCGGCACTCCTCTAATAATCTGTCTCTCTCTTTATCTCCCCCTCTCTCGTCATCCATCAGACGATCATCGTTTCTCCGTGGCTTCAGTCTCATCCATCACTTAGTTTCTCAATCCTGCTTATATTCTGCCTACATCTTTCCCTCCTGTGATTCCATCAACGCTTCTAACCTCAGTTTATCTTTTTCTTGCATTTTCCTTCTCTCTTTAAACACAGTGTTCCTGTTACCTCTCCGTGTGTTTTGTCCCGTGTCCTCGCTTCAAAGTCACCCAGTTGGCTTTGTGCCAGTGCTGCAGGACCATGTCAGAGATATATGTTCATGCACCCACTCGGCCTGAAACCTGTTAGTGGAACAGTTTAAACCGGACGGGGCTCCTTGGCACATTTGTGAAAGTAATAAAAAGGTAGGACATGCATTTCAAGTTTTATCTCATTTTGATTAAGTGTATTTATGGAATGAAACATATCTTATATCAGAATGTGCACACTTTCTTTATCCTGAGGGGAACATTAGGATCGCAAGAGCTGCAGAAAGTCATGATTGCCATATCTTGTTAAACAATATTCATGTATTAACTAAATAAAGCTTGATCCTTGAGGTTTTCATGAATCAAATCCCAGGAAATTGATCCGAAATCCATCCATGCTTCTAATTAGAAAACTACATATCGTCACCAACTCTGATTTGTCCCATCCCTTTCTCTACTTACAGTCAAACCAAAATGTGTTACTTCCAGATATGTACTAGCACCATGTAAGAGATATTTGTTCATGCACTCACTTGGCCTGTCCTGCTGAAACCGCTTAGTGGAACAGTTTAAACCGGACGGGGCTCCTTGGCACATTTGTGAAAGTAGTAAAAAAGTAGGACATGCATTTAAGGTTTTATCTAGTTTTCATTTAGTGTCAATATCACAATGGGCATACTTCCTTTATCCTTTAGGGGAACATTAGGATTGCAATAGTTCAGAAACTCATGATTGCCACAACTTGATGAACAATACTCCTATATGAAGACCACAAAGCATTGAGATTTTCCTCTATCAAATCCCAGGAAATTGATCCGAAATCCATCCATGCTTCTAATTAGAAAACTACATATCGTCACCAACTCTGATTTGTCCCATCCCCTTTTCTACTTACGGTCAAACCACAATGTGTTACTTCCAGATATTACTAGCAGCATGTAAGAGATATGTGTACATGTGCTCATTTGCCTGAAACCTGTTAGTGGAATCGTTTAAACCGGACGGGGCTCCTTGGCACTTTTGTGAAAGTAATAAAAAGGTAGGACATGCATTTCAAGTTTTATCTAGTTTTCATTTAGTGTCAATATCGGGATTGCAAGAGCTGCAGAAAGTCATGATTGCCATATCTTGATGAACAATACTCCTGTATGAAGACCACAGAGCCTGTTCATTGAGATGTTCATACATCTGAAATCCATCCATGTATCTAATTGGAAAACTTCATATTGCCACCAAGTCTGATTTACCCTTATGTAGTCCCGTCTCTTTGTCTACTTACGGTCAAACCACAATGTGTTACTTCCAGATATGTACTAGCAGCATTGGACATTATCTTTGGGAACATTCACAGCGACCTGATGGTTTTACAGAAACACATCCATCCTCTGTTAGCGGCTGGCTGGCTGAACAGCTCATGTCTCTTATAAGGACATTTTTGATAACTCTGTAGTGTCTGTTGGTGTAGACGGGTCGTCAACGAGCAACGGTGAAAGCACAGAAGCATTACAACTCTTTGGACTCTATATTGAACCTCATGTCAACAGTAAATAATAACTCTCACTGCCAGAAGGGTAGACACATGTCCACAGTGTTGACATTGCTTTGTACCGTATCTCACAAACTATTTAGCGCAAGTTAGCAACATATCCAACAAGCAATACAGCAAACAATAGCTGTCTTTCTAAAACAACTAGCATGCGGGGGGGGGGGGGGGGGGCGTACTGCTCGCATCTGCCTCTCATGTTCAGAGGAACAGCAGAACAGATAAGGAGAAGAGAAAGGGAAGGAGGGAAAGCTCAATAAGTAATAATGTTCTGCCTCCTGACGAGCCGCCGGCAAACCCAGCCAACCCAGCCCCCCCCCCCCCCCACACCCCAAAAGCCCCTAACCCCCCACTCCCAGCGCAGCCTTGGCAACAGTTCCCATCGGCAACAGGCCCTACTGGCAACCATTTCCATTCTCCTTGAGAGCAACAGGCTCCGGACATGGAGAGAGGGATGATGTGTGTGTGTGTGTGTGTGTGTGTGTGTGTGTGTGTGTGTGTGTGTGTGTGTGTGTCTGGTAGCCCTGATATAAATGTGATAGATAGCTGCTGTAGGGATGACAAGGCAGTGTTTTGTGTACGTGTGAGTGTTTGTCTGCTAGATGCAAAGTGCTCGGCTAGAGGGAGATAGGCAGCAGAGATGTGTGTGTGTGTGTATGTGTGTGTGTGTGTGTGTGTGTGTGTGTGTGTGTGTGTGTGTGTGTCTATAAACTGAAAGGAACGATTGCTTGGCAGAGGGGCAGACTCTTGTAAAGCTATGGGGATGAGATTTTAGTTGCTCGAGTAATGACAAGGCGGTATTGAATGTGGATATCAGTGTGTGTGTGTGTGTGTGTGTGTGTGTGTGTGTGTGTGTGTGTGTGTGTGTGTGTGTGTGTGTGTGTGTGTGTCAGACCTGGTGGAAGATGAGGGCCTGGCTGATGTAGCCCCAGCTGGAGGTGGGGCTCAGGTAGTGGATGAGCAGCAGGAGCAGCAGCATGAAGGCGATGCTCGCCGAGGCGTAGATGGCGTTGATGAGAAACATCATGACGGCACAGCCAATTATCCCCAACACACAGGTGTGCCAGGTGAAGTACCGGAAGGTGGGTCTGAGAGGGAGAAGCAATGCTTGGTTAGTTATCAAGGTACGATAGTTTAGGAGACGTAAACATATGAAAATACATTTTTGAGAAGAGGGGATCTTAAGGCATTAGCCTCACAGAGGCTTTTGAACATGGAGGTAATGCAAAATAGTTTTTATCAGTTAGAACCCCAAAGATATTCAATTGAATATGATATAAAATAGGAAAGATGTGAAATCTCCATATTTGAGAGGCTGAAAACTAAATGTTCTGTCAAATTTGTGTTTAAAAAAATACTTTTCTATTCATTGTTGATCATCATACATTACAACTCTACCCACAATGCATTTAAGCCATATTGTGAAGTCCATATTGTCCTCTCTGCCCTTTAAAATGGCCCCAGTGTACTTATCACCACTTCTATTGGCACCTTTTTAAAGACTTTGGATATTATCCGCAAGACGTCACAAGCAATTATTCTGTAACCGAAGAAGTAGGCAATAATTAATTAGGTTATTAAGCTCTATCTGCAACACTGTGTAAAACCTACAGAACCTCACACCAGGGGATCTTAAGGTTTGTTTGTTTGTTTGTAGCCTTTATTTAACCAGGTGAAGCCCCTTGAGATCAAAAGATCTCTTTTTCAAGGGTGACCTGCAGGACATTAGTTACACATGTAACATACAAACAACAGAACAACAATAAGGATGACATACAACATAATGTACAGGGTACAGTTTACAGGTATCAACAGAGTCAAAGCATGGCTGTGTAGACTCTGATTTCAACATGCAGGTAATGGAAAATAGTGAGAAATGTTTTTTAAATGTCCTGTTTTATCAGTTGAAAACCAAAATATATTTAATTTAATGATATAAAATAGAAAAATAGGTAATATCCATATTTGAGAGGCTGAAAACAACATATTCTGACATTTTTGTATTCATTATTGATCAGCATACATTACAATTCTACCCACAATGCATTTAAGCATCCCTCCTTCTATCCTGGCGATGTCCATATTGTCCTCTCTGGCCTTTTTAAATTGCCCTCCATCACCACTGCTATGGCACCTTTTAAAAGACTCTGGATGTGATCCACAAGATGTCACAAGCAGTTATTCTGTTCCCGTTTAAAACGGACATCATCGTTCAATATCACAAGGAAACAGCCTGTGTGAAATCACTTTGCATTGATTTGTACACTGGGGGGCGGAACAACAAGCTGTCAACATGACATATTATCACCTCATCATCAGCTGAGAGTCACACATCCAGCAGGCATTAGCATTTATAAGACTTTCTTCCCCTCATATTACTCAGTCATTCAAGCCATTGTTGATATACACATGTTGAAAATAGCAGCTTTCAAGTCTCTGGATTGACATTTATTTTTGAAGGTTTGTCCATTGTTTGCTGTTATAGATCTGCTGTGTGTAGCCCTGTGTTGATCGGGGTTTGTTATAATCTGTCAAATGTCTGTCGAACGGTCGATGTTATAAAAACCACATGTTGTTCAGGGTAATGACAACTTTTCTAAACATTTAAAATATGCCTCTGATGTGAAACCAAATAATTTGTACGGACAGATCTAGAATTATCCCTTCATCGTTCACGCCTCTGACTACCAGTGTTAGAAAGTATCACCAATTTTAACACTTTTTTAATCAACAATTTATAGAGATTTAGGGTTTGAAATCTTGAGTTATGGCCACGAGCAGAGACCTTAATCTCCAGGTGTTACTCAGGTAAGGACAGACGGACAACCTGAATAAAAACCGAGCTTATTACGACACTTTTACATTTGATCGTGTGTAAGTCTACGTTAAAAATAGCATAGAAAAGGCATCTGTTGTGGCTTCAATGCAAACAAACGACACAGAATAAAGAGACTTTCGAGGCAGTTATAAGGTCTCACCACGCTTAAACTTACTATACAAACACGATTAAAGGAACCATTTGTGTCTCGATGTATTCATATGTACATGTTCTACACCGGATTTGACTCGATCTATAGCAAACTGAATGACTTTATGATATTGCTGTTGAGTTTTGACTGTAATACGAACATTTCCATGCGATAAAATATGGACTTCTTCCTTTTAAGTCCATTATTTGGGTTGTAGACTTGCTGAGTCTTCTTCTAAAACCGTGTGTTAGCCGCTAGCTCACACCATCTTCAGAAGCATGTCGTAAACACGGAGCTCTTCAGACTAAGAGGCGTTTTACAAACCACATGTTCAGTGGAAAAGCAGCTGGTCTGATATCAGTTTCTCCTAAAATGATTATCCATCCACATGGGTTCAGAAAGCTGAAGGGAACAGGAACTCATATGGAATGATTCAGTATAATAAACTACCCGCTGACCTTATTCCCACGATATCCAGTCCAGATTCAGGAGCCAACGGCAGGGTTTTCATTCAATTACCTTTGATACTTTATGATCCTTTAGTCCGTAAACCTGGGCTGGAATATGTTCATTTAAGGATTTCATGGGGTGAAATAGTTAAGGGCTGGAAAGATCGTTGCAAAGTGAAATGTCTGTAAAACTGTTATATGGATTGATACAGATGCCCACGATATGAAACCCTTTCACTTTGTTGTTACTATTAGCCCTTAACTCTTTCTAATCTCGTACCATCGGCAGGTCAATTTATACATGTGTCCAGTTTATGACAAACAAACTACAAAACTGATGACATTCCCAAGAACCTCCCAAACATCACCTGCTAAATACAGTGGCGAACAGTGTCTATCACAAGTGAACCTTCTGTAGACACCCCCCCCCCCCCCCCTCCGCGGCATTATTATTGTCGTCTTGAAAAGGGTACTCACAACAATTCCGCAACAACTTCATCTTCACCTGTTGCACTTGTCATTTCAACGTTAAAAACAATAAAACGGCATGAATTGCTTCGTGGCATTCATCTAGATCCTCTGCCTCGAGCCAGATAACTAGCGGGCCTTCTAGAATACCCTGGAACCGAGGGAAACTCTGAAAGAACACGCCCATTGGCTACAAATCAATATATGATTGGTTGATCAAACTGTCAGTCCAAACGTACGCTCTCATTCAGTGCAACGGCCAGGGCCTTCGATCAAGGATGTAGAATACCTTGGTGAAGGATATTCTACCCAGAGACCCAGAACAAGATCTGATTGGTTGCTTTCTTTTCTAACACAAAACCACTGAAATGCGTAGTGCATGGTCCGAGAAGGACAAACAAATCAACGTAACATTATTATTACAGATCAACAACACAGATACCATTCTCATTTATTCATTTCATTTACATTTTATTTATATAATTAAATCGATTTTTTTGTTTGTTTTATCTGAGTGTTCCAGGGTATCCTCTGAATACCTTGAAGGCCCTGACGGTTCGCCACTGGCTAAATATGAGCATACTAGTCATTGTGATAGCGTGTAAGCATGAAGACGTTGATGTTCGTTGTGTTTAAAATACCTCAATAATATGTCGTTAAGGTTTCCCCACATAAGAAGTGCTGGACCTAGCTCTGACCCGTTGATCACATAAAGATGTTGGAAGTGGCCGGGACGAAACACATCTAGCGTTTGAATTTCATATTTAAGGAAAGAGCAAAGACCTTTCACTCATAATGTAAAAAAACATCTCTGTCGTGGCCAACATTGCATGAACACAAGTCCATACCACTTTACCTTTACTAATATTAATAGGGTTAGTGTTGGTTTGAAGATGGTTCAATTAGAAACCTTAAAAAACGTTTGCTCTGACACCAACTAGAACCCGAAAAAAGCACAACGTCTTGAAGACACTGTTTATGTTGCTGCTTTTCCTAGTGTCAGCGTACATTTCCCTCACAGTTGTAATAATTAACATTATACAATCCTTTATTTATGCAACATTGTAAATAAAGACATGTTAAATATTCAGTCAGTCGATTGATAGCCCCTAGTTTTGCTGCTATAGGCTTAGTTTGTCGGGGGACATCTTACTTCTTCCTTCTCTCTGTCTATACCTGTGTACTCTCATGTTCCGATTAACCCAGCTTCCCCAAATGTCTTTCTTTTTGGTGTCTATATACGCCGGGATCCGGAGTCATGGATGATCCTGCGCTCCTCTGTCCTGGATCTTGAGTCGTGGCTGTGGTCTTGGATCATAGGTCCTGGATGGATATCCTCGTGGATTCATCTTCCTATTATACACACATGCATTTCCAAACATTTGGACTACCTATGTTGCAAATGTATTATCTTTTCAATTTACACACGGCATCTATTGCACGTCTGTCCGTCCTGGGAGAGGGATCCCTCCTCTGTTGCTCTCCCTGAGGTTTCTCCCATGTTCCCTTTAAACTGTGGGTTTTCTTCGGAAGTTTTTCCTTGTACGATGTGAGGGTCTAAGGACAGAGGGTGTCGTATTGTCATACTGATATTTTGTACAAATATTCAATCTTGCCGCTACTGCTTTCCGACAACTTTCTACTCATGGTCGTTCTCGCCATGAACTGTTGTTGTTGACGCTGTTTGGCATCACAACGTGGTTATGAAAGTGTATCTGGCATTCTACAGGTGATAATAATAATAATAATGCATTACATTTTTAATTAGAGCGCTTTTACAGGTGCTCAAAGCGCTTTACAAGTACACATTACACATATTAGACATGTAAGAGTCATTACTGTGGACATTACCCACAGGAGCAAATGCGGGTGAAGTGTCTTGCCCAAGGACACAACGGCCTGACGGAGTGGCGGCCGAGGCGGGTTTCGACTGGAGTTCACCAACGCCCCTTGATCTGATGATCAACGCTCTAACCACTGCGCCAAAACCGCCCGCAAACCGTGATGTTAGCATAGCAACCGAAGCTAATCAGACTATCTTGCCTACTTGTTGCTATCATATTGTGGCAGAAGCCGTTTTCTAAACGCATGTTTTACCGGCGTAGTTTTCGTTATGATTTTACTTGTGATGGCCACATGTAGCCCATGTATTGATTCCATCCGATAGCTGCAATAATACAAAACAACAGGAACACGTCTGCCTCTTCACAATGGTCAATAACAGTGAACGGATGGTTATTAAAGTAAGGTCAAATAAACAGAATCACACTAAGCTGGTTAGTGTTGCCTGACTTTATATAAGTGTTTGTATAAGTGTGTGGTCGCGTTCTCGTCACTTTGCTCAGCACTACTGCTTGTTACAACTTGTATTCGCTGCACTCGCCATGACCTGTTATTGCTCAGGTTATTCTCGTCCTCCTCCAATGTAAGCGTGACGTATTTGGTTCTTAGATCTTGCGGGTTGCCGAGTGGGGCCAGCTGAGAGAATAGACCAGACTCCAGCAAAGGGCATTTGTGTCTAGAGTGCGCCATCTAGTGGGATCAGCTGAAATGCCGGGTATTGCAGGAAAAAGGCTAAATGAATGCGGTCTTTACTATAATTTGGACAATTTTGTACCAATATTCGGCGGGCCGGATTCAAAAGCCCAACAGGCCGTATATGGCCCGCGGGCCTTAGTTTTCCCATGCCTGCTCTAGATGTTGCAGAGAACACACACACAGCAGCATAAATCTGCAGCCACGGGCAGATGGTGTGTTTTTTTTTAACAGTTATTAAGATAGAACACAAATAACGAGGAAACATTTTGGTAAGCCGTTTAAATGATCTGTTGATATTTCTATCGTCTCTCACATTCGGTAAATGGTGGCAACATATCTTAAAATGTGACACAGCAGCGTTGGCACGGTGATAAATCTCGAGAATAAAACATATCAATCTGTAGATAAATGCAGGAGGCATATTGCCATTGATATGTGGGGTATCCATTATGTGTTATCATGGTTTCACAGCTGATATAATCACCATGGAATAAAACACAAAGGTACAGTGACACAATATCAAATATATCTACGGATATATGCTGCTGGTGTTTTCCCTTTCCTGTAGTGTGTTACAGTATATAGGTTTCTGTGCATGTAAATGGTCTGCAAAGGCTACAATTCCTGTGTTTCTCTCCCACACCCCCCTAGACTTCATTTTCAGTCAGTGTTGCTGAGGCTCCACTTGCTTGACCTTTGACCTCATGCATTTTTAAAACGTCTTGCCCCACATCGTCTCATTTCCAGTGTTGTTGTGATGCTCCATCAGGGTTCACACACACAGGGTTCACACACTTTTTCACCAATGACTTTTCAATGACCTTTACCTCATTTTCCATGACCAAAACAATGACTCTTCTCAGCGGTACCACTGAAACATTTTTATTTTAACATGGTAAAATAAGGTCTGCATATGAAACATGTTGTGCCTATCTAAAACAAATCAAATAGGCTTGAGTTTCAACAGTCACATTAAAACAGTTACTAAATCAGCCTACTATCACCTAAAGAACATATCTAGGATTAAAAGACTAATGTCACAGCAGGATTTGGAAAAACGTGTCCATGCTTTTATCTTCAGTAGACTCGACTACTGCAATGGTGTCTTCACAGGTCTCACTAAAAAATCTATTAGAAAGCTGCAGCTAATTCAGAACGCTGCTGCTCGAGTCCTCACTAACACTAAGAAAGTGGATCACTCCTGTTCTGAAGTCTTTACACTGGCTTCCTGTGTGTCAAAGAATAGATTTCTAAATACTGCTGCTGGTTTATAAAGCACTGAATGGTTTAGGCCCAAAATACATTTCTGACCTCCTGCTAAATTATGAACCATCCAGATCTCTCAGGTCTTCAGGGACTGGTCAGCTTTCTGTCCCCAGAGTCAGAACTAAACATGGAGAAGCAGCGTTCAGTTATTATGCTCCAAATATCTGGAACAAACTCCCAGAAACCTGCAGGTCCGCTGCAACTCTGACTACTTTCAAATCCAGGCTGAAGACTTTTCTTTTGTCGCTGCTTTTAATTGAACTATTCATATCTTAGACTGCACTGTAACTTTTATCCATGTACTTTTTCTTTTAATGTTTATTTTATTAGCTTTTCTTTTTAATGACTGATTTTAAATGACATTTTCTTAATGTCTTTCATTTTTGTAAAGCACTTTGAATTGCCTTGTGTTGAAAAGTGCTATATAAATAAACTTGCCTTGCCTTACTAGCTCCTACAGACTGAAGGGTGTGATTGTAAAAGTCCAGCGAAATACCTCATCAGTTAAATGCCATTTTACGTTTCATTACTATACGATACAGTATTTATTATCATTATAGAATTACTATTTCGGCGATTAGATAAAATATAAATTATATTTGATGCAACTTTAGTTACATTTCCAATACTTTTCCAAAACTTTGGGAAAAATATTGTTTTCCAAAACTTTTCCAGGGCCTGGAATTTGCATTTTGAATTTCCATGACTTTTCCAAGTTTTTAATGACCGTAGGAACCCTGCCGCATATATCTGCTGCTGTTTCACCAACACACCCCACTGTCAGCCGAATACTAATTAACAGTGGAGCAGCTCGCTTTAATTGAATAGTTGCATTTGCAAGATAAACACATATTTTGTAATGAAACTATATGCATTTCAGCAGTGCAATGTGGGCCAAAGTTACACTTAAGAATGTTTTAAAAGGTTAGTTCTGAACTAAAAAGTGAAGTCTGAATCTCAATCTCAGAAAAACTTTAATTACTTCGACTCAAATTCCCCCCACACACCACTTCCTGATGCGTGACTGCATCAAAGCACATACAGAGTTAACGCGGGGACAAGAGCAATTAAAACAAACAGCACACATCGATAATAAGCCGCCCTCCCAGTGCTTGTGTGCTTCAGCTTGAATTCATATGAGAACGAGTGCCTTAGTTGTATTTTAAGCACACATATACCCACAACAACATATATATTTACCTTTTAGGTATAAATGGGTTGAAGAGGTGTTGGAGTTGGGAGCGCTTGCA